ATTTAGAATCTGAATTAGGGACGTCAGGTAGGACTGATGCAGTCACCATGAAAAGAGCCGGCTCGTCCTTTCTCAGATTGATTGAGCAACATGGGCCTTCTCGGTCGTCTCTTTGTTCTTGAGCTTTTGCTTGCTCCAGCAATTCTTGCTCAGGTGAGCTCTCTTCCCACGGTACGAGCACTGGATTTGCCTGTCATTAGTCGGGGCTCCTTCTTTTAATCGGCCTCTTTCCCGCGCGCATGCGCTCGGGAGATTTGCTCGTGATCGGGGACGAGATTTTTGTCTCGCTGCTCAGTTGACCTCTCTCTTCCCACGGTACGAGCACTGGATTGGCCTATCATTAGTCGGGGCTCCTTCTTTTATCCGGCCTCTTTCCCGCGCATGCGCCCGCGAGATTTCCATGGCTTCTTACCGCACACCTTTGCGGCTGGAGGGCCCATTGCCCTCACCGGAGTCGTCACGGAGCTTTAGGCGTGCAAGTCATTCCTCCTCAATGAGGAGTAGACGACCCTCCTTGTCGCTAGTTGAAACACTTCCACCGTTAGGTCGTCCACGTCAAGCAATGTCTCGATTGAAATCGCAACTTGCTCGAGGTGATCGCTCGAGCCATAACCCTTGCACCTATAGGTTGACGCGGCGTGGAGGAGTGAGTGAGCCTGCTCGGGATGGACCCCACGGTGTGTTAATTTTTGCGCTTTGCATTTTCTTCTAATCGAACCTAAGACTTGTGTGTTGTTAGGTCGACGCTCTAACCACTTGAGCTATTCAACTTGACTATTGATAAGATTGGCTCCTCCGCAATGATATACCACCGATGGCTTCAACTAGGCTTTGATACCACTTGTTGTTCTTCAACAATCGGCAAAGATAATCGGCAAGTGAAATCCTTTTCGGTGAGAGGAAATCATTTTGCTCTTGGAGGTGGCACGCAAGGTACGGGCACTTAAACTTTCCTACTCTAGAAAAGCTACAGAAGGAGGAGATGGTGCACGGTTTGCCGGCCATCAAAGGCGTGAACAAGTTGTGCGACGGGTGCCTCATTGGCAAATCGAGGCGCACACCCTTTCCGTCTCGGACATCCTACCGCGCCGATGAGTTAATGTAGCTTGTACACGGCGATATCTATGGGACCATCAAGCCGACGACCCCAGGTGGTAAGAGGCGGTTAAGCGCATTAAAGCACGAGCGGAGGCCGAATGTGAGAAGAAGATGCTAGTGCTGCGCACAGACCGAGGGAAAGAATTCACCTCGAAAAGTTTCGGTAAGTACTGCGATGAGTTCAGCATACAACGGCACCTAACGGCGCCCTACTCCCCCCAACAGAACGGAGTGGTGGAGTGCCAAAATCAGACCATCGTCGGGACAGCGAGGTCATTGCTGGTGACGGTCGGGATGCTTGGGAGATTCTGGGGAGAGGCGGTAATGATGGCCGTTTATCTCCTCAATCGGTCACCAACCCGAAGCCACGACGGGAAGACGCCATATGAGACCTGGTACAACAAAAAGCCAACGGTACATCATTTTCGCGTGTTCGGCTGCATCGCATACATGAAGGTAACACGTCCCCACCTCGCCAACCTGAAGGTCGTCCCAGGGGGTTGAAGGTCATCTTCATCAGCTAAGAACCTCGGAGCAAGGCGTACAGACTCTATGATCCTGTAGGGGGCGAGCTCACGTGTCTCACGACGTCATCTTTGATGAAAGCACCTTCTAGCAATGGAACAACATGATCAAGGCAGAACACAACCCAAATCAATTCACGGAGTACCTCGTCACCAAGCCGGAAGGAGGAGTCCAGCATCAGGAACCGTCACCGCCGCCAGCAGGTGCACCCCCTGAACTAGTGGAGTTCACAACACCACGGTTCGACGTTGGATGCCGATCACGATGATGATCTGGTGGCCAGGTACCTTAGGATGGACGACCTAGTGGGAGGAGGTGAACCATCTGGATTAGCAGCGCGCGAGCTCGAAGAAGTGGTCGAACTGCATGCCATCAGTGCAGATAAACCGAACACCTTCACCAAAGAAGAAAGGAACCCGTGCTGGCTGAAGGCAATGCAGGAGAAGATGACATCCATCACTGAGAACCAGACGTGGAGTCTGGAGGATATGCCGCCGGGACACCGAGCCATGGGGCTCAAATGGGTCTTCAAACTAAAGCGCAACAAAAAGGGAGAAGTTGTGAAGCACAAGGCCCGTCTGGTGGCGAAGGGCTACGTCTAGAAGCAAGGAGTGGACTTCGAAGAGGTATTTGCGTCGGTGGCAAGGTTAGAATCTATCCAACTTTTGCTGGCAATTGCGGCACATTGCTCTTGGAAGGTCCACCATATGGACGTGAAGTCTGCTTTCCTTAATGGAGAGTTGAAGGAGACCGTGTACATCCGACAACCATTTGGCTTCCTGGACAACGACAACCCCGATAAGGTACTGCACCTGCACAAGGCACTCTAGGGGCTTCAACAAGCACCACGAGCCTGGAACGCGAAGCTCAACAGTACCCTACTCTCATTGAAGTTCAAGCGTTGTGCCTCTGAGCATGGCATATACACGCACGGCCACCGCGAGCAGCGACTGATTGTGGGAGTGTACGTCGACGACCTCATAATCACTAGAGGCGACATGGAAGTCCTCGAAAGATTCAAGAGGGAGATGTCAAAGAACTTCAAGATGAGCGATCTCGGCGTACTCAACTACTACCTCGGCATCAAAGTGCAACAAAGTACTACCGGCATCACCATCTGTCAAAGTGCGTACGCAAAGAAGCTGTTGGATACTGCTGGGCTAGCAAATAGTAACCCTACAAGGACGCTAATGGAGGCCCGGCTACAACTAAGGAAGGCTAGCACTACGACAACAGTCGACTCCACCAATTACCGCAGCATTGTCGGGAGTCGCTATCTGGTAAACACTCGTCCTAATCTTGCTTATTCTGTTGGATATGTGAGTAGGTTTATGGAAGCACCTAGGGAGGAGCATCTAGTGGCTGTCAAGCGCATCCTACGCTATGTAGCCGGAACCAGAGGCTAGGGTGTAAGATACTGCACAGGGAGAGAAAAGGAGAAACTTAAGTTGGTCGGCTACAGTAATAGTGACATGGTCGGTGATGTTGATGATCGTAAGAGCACCAGTAGAATGATCTACTTTCTCTCAGGCGTCGCGATCTACTGGCAATCAACAAAACAGAAGGTAGTTGCTTTGTCCTCCTGCGAAGCAGAATACATCACCGCTTCGATGGCAGCAACACAGGGGGTCTGGCTTGCGCGACTAATAGAAGCACTCATCGGGAGACAAAACGATCCACCAATGTTATACGTGGACAACAAAGCTACGATCTCCCTGATCAAAAATCCAGTTTTGCACGACCGGAGCAAGCACATAGAAATCAGATTCCACTACATTCGAGAATGTGCAGATCCAGGGCTCATCAAGATGGATTTCATCCGAACAAAGGAACAACTTGGAGACATTTTCACCAAGTTCCTGGCACAGGTAAAATTTGAAGAACTACGCTCAACGATCGGAGTTCAAATAATAAGGTAAATATAGCACAGCTGTTAGGAGGAGATTATTAAATAAAAGCTATGGTCCTTAAATGTACTTGAGCTGTTTTGACCTTGTAAAATTCTGAATTCACGCTCATGGAAGAGCGTAAATTTGGCCGGCCATTCTTGGCTAACTTCGGGCGAAGTTTTAGCCCACTCTTTCTATTTTTGTAATTATGTTTGTTATTTAAAGAATTCAATCTCGCTGATCACTCGCCCAACGACAACTCGCCATTCTTGGCTAACTTTGGGCGAAGTTTTCCTCCGAATTGCTAGAGTCAACAAGGACGACCTGCAGCATCTTCTTCACGATTTCTATCTCACTGATCACTCGCCCAATGGCCTGCCTAGGATGGACCCCACGGTGTGTGTATTTTCGCGCTTTGCATTTTCTTCTACTCAAACTTGAGACCTGTGTGTTGTCAGGTAAACGCTCTAACCACTTGAGCTATTCAACTTGACTGTTGATAAGGTTGGCTCCTCCATAATGATATACCACCGATGGCTTCAACCTGGCTCTAATACCACTTGTTGACTTGTGGCAAAAACGTCAACAAAAACAAACTACCGAAGGAAAATTTCTTCGAAGAAAAAATAGCATAAAGTAAAAGGAGAGAGGGAGAGATTTGCTGAAGACTCGATGGTTATTTCTCTGAATTCTTTAAATAACAAACCTAATTATAAAAATAGAAAATAGTGGGCAAAAACTTCGCCTAGCCAAAATGGCCCGCAAAAATTACGCTCTTCCATTCAACGGTGAGCGTGAATTCAGAAATTTCAAAAGTCAAAAACAACTTAACTAAATCTAAGGACACCACAGCTTTTATCTAACAACCCCTGGATCTCCTATGAAGTTATAGATACCGTTCACACAACTAACACCCTAAGAACACTCCTAAGATACTTCGTTCTCATGGTAATCTGTCTAACAACCCCTAGATCTCCTATGAAGTTATAGATACCGTTCACACAACTAACACCCTAAGAACACTCCTAAGATACTTCTTCTTGTGGTAATCTGTCTAACAACCCCTGGATCTCCTATGAAGTTATAGATACCGTTCACACAACTAACACTCCTAAGATACTTCGTTGTGGTAATCTGTTAGGTTCCTAGGGAAGGGATAGATCTAAACACAATGACTTGTCACTCCTAACCAAAAATCCCTAGGCTTATCATATCAACGAGTCATGGAAAATAACTGAGTGCGCATGCAACCATCATCTAACATCATCATACATAATTCATGCAAGTTAAACATACATGCTCAACGGGGAAATGACATCCATCAAGCACCTGAGGCGCGGAGTTCACAAATTCAGCACGAATTAAACATATGCATATGTATAACAAAAGCTTAAAGCATAATTGCAACACTCAGATAATTCACATAATGTTTTACACAATACATTCACACTCATAATAATCAACTTGCCTAATTTCATTCATGGAAAGCTACATGAAGACCACTGGTGTACTGGTAAGGCCAAAAGACATAACAAGAAACTCGTAATGTCCATAACGACTATTGAAGGATGTCTTGGGTATATCTTCTCTAATCCTCAACTTATGATACCTTGACCTCAAGTCAATTTTGGAGAAAGCTGTTGCTTCTTGTAGCTGATCAAACAAGTCGTCGATTCTCGAGAGGGGGTACTTATTCTTTATGGTGACCTTGTTCATCTCTCTGTTATCAATACACAATCGCAAAGATCCATCATTCTTCTTGACAAACAGAACAGGGGCTCCCCAAGGTGGTACACATGGTCGAATGAAACCCTTATTCAACAGCTCCTGTAGTTGTTCCTTCAATTCCTTGAGTTCTGCAGGTGCCATTTTGTAGGGTGCCTTGGAGATCGGCGCGGTTCCTGGTTCTAAATCAATCTTGAAATCAACTTCCTTAACTGGGGACAAACCTGGCAAATCCTTTGGGCAAACATCCACAAAATCCCTGAAGATGTGTACTGATGAGACTGTCTGCTCGTTACTGTTGCCTAAGGTCACGCTGGCTAAAAATGCACTTGCACCACGAATTATCTTCCTGGCCTTCAGTGCTGTTATAACCTCTTGGAAGTGGCTCCCTTGTAGGTAAAATTGTCCACTGACGAGAGTCTGAGAGTCACTATTTGAGTCTCACAGTCTATCAGAGCATGATTCTCACCTAGCCAATTCATACCCAAGATGACATCGAAGTCTTGCATGCTTAACACTATCAGTGCGGCTTCGATGACACATCTTGATATTGTTACACTAGCCCCTTAACCCTATGGGTACCTAACAATAGCTCGTGAGTAGTGGTGAATACTGACAAGGTGATCTCAAAAGGTTCCATCTCTAAATGTGCTAGCTCTACAAACTCCTCAGATATGAACGGATGTGTAGAACCTGAATCAAACAACACTAAAGTCAAATGACCAAAGACGGGTAGTGTACCTGTAACAATTGTGTAAGGCTCGTCAGCTTGTCTGTTGTGCTTGCATGCGCTACAGCTCACCCTTGTTGATGCTGAGGACCCCAGCCCCTCTGATTCTATGTCGTAGGTCGGTTGGCATGCTTATCGTTCCTCTAAGGGCAATCTGTTGCAAAGTGCCCTACTTGGCCACATCTATAGATGCATATGTTCCTGCACTGCACTCCCCTGAGTGAGGATGCCAACAATTAGGACAAATGGTCTTATTTTGCACCGAGGCTTTCACCCGCTTATCAGTACGGCCACGCGGCGGTCTACCAGTTCTGGGGTGGCTCCGGTCTGTCCTCTTCCCCTGAACTGTGGTGTGGGATGAATGGGCTGATCCTGACTGTAACTTGTTGATGTGAGGCATTTCAATGAGGATCGCCACCCAAAGGACTTTTGCATAATCAGAGGATGTCTAGGCTGCTACATGCCCCTTTAGTTCCACCCTTAGGTCAGTAATGAATTGCTCGGCCTTAAATTCCTCAGTACTAACATATGCTATAGAAAACATTGCCAACCTGTCGAATTTTAGATCGTATTCGTCCCACGACTTCTCTCCCTATTTCAGTTCAACGAATGCTTACTGCATTTGGCAGTGACTGGGTAGTATTTGCGGAGGTAGGCTTCTTTAAACTGGCACCTGGTGATAAAACTCTTCTTGTGTGCAATGATCCTCTGAGCGCTTTTCCACCAAAAGTGCACCTTTCCTTTCATCATATATGTCCCACAATGAACTTGATACTCTAGCAGGCAGTTCATGTAATATAAGGTTGTTTCTATAGCCTCTAGCCAGTTGTCTGCTACAATGGGATCCACCTTGCCTCCGTTAAAGGAAGGCGGTTTATGCTTTTGAAAATCTTTCAGGCAACAGCACTCCACAATCATAGTCCTTGAATCTCTGGTCTCTTGCACTATTGTCTCATTAGCCATCTCTGCATCATTTGGGTCATCAGAGCCTGACTTTCCATTGAGGTCAACATGAATGCTTGTAATACATCTACTGTGGGTGTGGCTAACGGCTGGATGGGCGGGACTTCCCTACTAGTGGCTGGCACTGATGGGACATCCTCAGAGAGGGGAGTAGTGGGGTCTATATCAAGCAAGTTTTGGGTCTTTGCCCTCTTTCAACGCTTTTTAGTTCTTGATGGTTCGGTTCTTTCGCTAGTTTGGGGCGTGTTGCTAACCTCCTCTTGAGGTTCATGTTGTTTTACTTCAAGTGTTGGAACAGAGGTACCCTAAGCGACTTTTCTTCTTCCCCTTCGGAGTTCGAGCCTGCCTCTTTAGTGCCATTATCTACCATAACAGAAAAAGAAACTATGGTTACAATTCATTCGTTTCAAATCTTCCAGATAATGCGCAATTATAACATAACAGAAAGTCATAGTATACTCTTTAAATACTAACTTTAATTTTGTCTCTATGTTTCAAACTCGTAAGGACATCTGGTCACGAGCGGCACGTGTTTGATGGGCGTGGTCACAGAGGATACGAATCTCTATCCTAAATGTCTACAAAACCTATGACTTGGTGCTATAATACCAAATTCGTCACAACCCAATATTTTACTATGAGTCGTGACACAAAAATGACAACATGAATGTAACAAAAACATTTGAAAATGCATTAAGGTGAAACCATTTATTTCAAGTAAAATTTTAAAACAAATGTTCAAACAATTAACAGTTTTGGTAACGAAAATATGTGAATTCGAAAAAAAGAAAGAAAAAAAAACTGACGCCCCAAGACATGTATTCCTCTATCATAATCCACATCTCTTATCATGCCTTCTGTTGACTCGACACCTCATGCACCTGTAATTATACTCAGTAAGTCATCTACTTGTACGCTCTCATTGCATCCTAAGCTTAACAGATTCCCACATGCTTCCAATTGGCTCTAGGACATCTGGTTCTGGTCTTAGCCCTTGGGACGTGCCCCTTGGAGCTTCTCTAGTCATCCGTCTTTTCATTTAGTCCCTAAGAGTTCCTTATGCGGAACTGTAATGACCGATATTTCTTTATGAGGGGTCATCCATCTTTTCATTTTGAATTTCTTTTTTTCTTTTTGAATTGTTGTTCCAAAGGGTGTTAAAAGTAAATACAATCCATCAAATCAGAATAATTAAGGAATTGATTGATAAATTTGGTACAAAGTCACCAAAATTGCTTGGAACAAATTTTATTTTGCTATCTTCAAGATTCCCCTTTTGTCATAACACTTGGAAGAAGCTCATGTGATTTTTGGCATCTTCTGTGTGGGAAACGTCATTTCTTTGCACTGTGCTCATTACAATTCCTCTCTGTACCTCACTATGCAATCCAACAAGCTTCCTTAATATTAAAGTCTATTATTCATAACAAATATATCATACTAAATATCTTTATTATTCCACTTTTCTTCTCAAATTATGACTTACAACCTACTTACCCTTAAGTCTTTTTGACATTAATATGATGTACAGATGTTACTGCATTCTATAAAAATTTAATTAAGGTGGCTATCCCTAAAAATTTAAATGATCGTTCCTATTTTTCTAATAAATAATTGATTACGTCACTTAATCGACTCATCTAAATTGCATTTAATGACTATATTACAAATAAACGTGGTTCAAAATCAAAATATAAATATAAATTTAATTTAGAGACTAAATACACATCATATTCATTATATAATTTAATTTTATAATTTTCATTCAAATATATCAAATCTCAATCCTTCTAAATCAACCCAAAATCAAATAAATAAAAAAATTATGCATTAAAATTATATTAGGTTGAACCATAATTATTAATTTTTAAAAATATATATTTTGACTTACCTACAATTATATATAAATATTTTTTATTTAATTTTATAATTAATTTTTATTTTTTTTATTCAATAATTTTTTTTAATTAATTTTTAATTATTTTAAAGATAAATTTTTAAACTATTATTAAAATTTAAATAGACTATCTCAATCATCTAAACCCACAAAAATAAATGAATAAATAAATTGGGTTTAGTCCACTATTTAATCAAAGTTGTTTATGTTTTTATTCTAGACTATATCTTCCGCGATGAGAGGTACTGGCTAAACGTAACTGAAGACATTCAGCAAGAGGCATAGAATAGACTATTCTCCATCTAGGAATGGGATTTCGGTGCCACTACCCATCATTCCTCCACCATACTAAACAGTATGAAAAGGTGTTGAGTCTTTTTAATCAAAAAATTTTATCGACTTTGAATAATTGAGTTTGATCTAAAAAAAAATGTCACAATCGACCCGACTTAATTCATAAACACCGTAAGCTCAAGCATTGAGATGGGATGATCTTATATAGTTGATTTTGAGGTGTGTTAAAAAAGTAGGTGAATTGTTGTTTTTTATAAAAAGAAAAGGCAGTAGGTTGGGCATCATTAGCATTATCAAAAACCCACTATAGACAACAACAACAATAATTATTATTATACAAATTTGAAACTTGCATTTTGGGACATGTAAAACAAAGCTTGGTGAATAGCTGCTTAACCAATATTGTTGTTCAATCCTCCACATCTGTGCTGCTACTTCCACTATCTTCTTCTTCTTCCTTTCCCTCCTCACCCTTTATTGTATGCAACACTTGATGATTGGCCTGAAATGGAGGTGGCCATTGCTGCTCTGGCTCCACCACCAATGCCTCCATTTGGGCATTCATATCAAAACTCGCCTGCTTCTCTTTCTCTTTGTATAAAGCATCCAACAAGTGAAAGTAGGGACATGTCTTGGAGTCTTCTCCCCTCTTCTTCTTCCCATCTTTCACCTTTTTGAAGTATTTGTTTATGTTTTCCCATTTCTCTTTGCATCTCTTTGAGCTTCTATTGTATCCAATCCCTCTCATCCCTCCTGATATCTCTTCCCATAATAACCCCTTTTGCCCATTCTCTTCATACTTCATCTCCATTTCCATCCTCAATCTTATTAACGCTTCCACTTCCGCCTTCGGCCATCTCGACTCACTTCCTCTACCCGTGCTCACCTTTGCAATAGCGTTATGTGGTACCGGTGGTGTTGAGGGAGATACTTTTTGCAAAAACGCGATGACGGCGGCGTCTTTCGCAGCGGTGATTGACGTCTCTTGAACTAAAACTTGATGTTCTTGATTAACCCTTGTCATTTCCTTCATTCTCCATGCTTCATCTCTCAATTTTCTTTGATTCTCTATTCTCTCCAAGGATTCTAGGAATTTTAATTGAAGGCTCTCTTGCTTCTCTATCACTTCTTTTGTTAAGTTCACGAAGAAATCTCTCCACTTTCTCTTCTTCGTCTTACGAAACGTATCTTTATCTTCCTCCGACGCGGTTGACGACGATGTCGAGCTCAAAAACAACCCATTGGCAGATATGTTTTGAAAATTGAGTGGCAAAGAGTTGTCGATGGTCGATGAAACAGTAGAAGGTGCGATTAGTTTTGGCGGCGGAATTGAGTGGCGATGGTGGGATTGAACGGAAATGTGGTTGTGATGATGAATATCAAAAGCCTCTAATTCATCGGAGAATTTATAAACCTTTTTGCTATTATCAGATTTCCCACATCGACCAATTTTGGTTCTTTTGTGATACTTATAAACATTCTCGAATTTCTCCTTGCATTTTTTTGGTGTTCGATTGAATCCAAGCTCGCCCAATTTCCTGAAATCCCAAAACAAATTAAATTCAATCATATTCTTTTTTGAGATCTTAAAAAAAATTAATTTTTTTAAAAAAAAACAGACAACCCATGTTAGAAGATGCCATATAGATCAAATTGGTACATCTTTTTTATGTCTCATTTCATATGAATTTAATAAAATTTCACAAAACATACCTTGAAATTTCATCCCATAATGGAGCTTTGAGCGTTGCATCTCTGAAAATTGCATCCATGTCGGATCTTATCTTCAACAAAGCCAAGGTTTCTTGTCGAGGCCACCGGTTTCCACCAAAATTCTTCTCTCCATCTTCAAACAACATCAACCCCTTATCTTCTTCACCGGAATTCGACCCGCCGCCAACTTCATTCGGTTCTACAGCTTCCGGGGGTGGCGCCACCGCAACGCCAGAGTCGACGACATCCATAGGAGTATTTGTGTAGACGACTTATCACCACGACCCAGATGAACACAAAAATAGTAGAAGCACACAAAAGCCACAAAAGAGGTGAAGATCAAAAAAGAGATATATTTTTTTTTCTTTTATTTTTCTCTCCAAGCTTTTATTAGGTTAGTTATTAGATATATAAATGTGAAGGAGTTTTATACATATGGTCATTTTCTTTTTCTTTATATATATATATATATATATATATATATATTTTAATTAATTATTTATCCTTTGGTGGGATATGCCTGTCATGATCCATGGCCCCCCTCCCTTTTTCAAAAATAAATAAAAAATTTAATGTCATTTTTTATATAAGGAAGGAATATTACGATATTTATATTATATTATTGTGAAAATAAGTTGTTCAAGTTAAAAAAAAAAAATATATATATATTCATATTTGACGTTGGATTAATTTGGAAAATATATAATGTAAGAAAAAAAAAATTAGTTGTTCAAGTGGTAAGAGTTATAGATGGAGACGAGGGGATAACAAAACAAGTTGGCCTCATGTAGGTCAGCTTTGCCTTTTGGAGGTGCGTTTTGGATGCCATTGGGTATGTTTGGCTACCCAAATTACTAAATTACCCTTCACCTTTTTCTTCCAATTATTAATAATTATTTTTAATCATAATCAAAATATTTAACAAGGTAAACAAATAAGCGTCCTTAAAATTGGTCGGTAACAATATTAAATATTAAATATTAAAACAAATTTAAATAGCGACCAATTTAGTTAGAATGTAGGCTACCATAATTAATGCCCAATCGCAATTTTAATGCAAAATTAAATATTGTCTCACCTTTCATCACCCTTTTTATTTTATACCATCTTTTTCCATAATTTATTAAATGTTATGACTTTTGTGACACCTATATATATTCCCGAATCTTCCTACCTCATCATCATGTTACTTACTTCTTACTTCTAGGAGTGAAAATTATCCACACTCACCAATATATATCCTTTTACTCACATGTGATTACTTCAAGTAAAGCACGCTTAATTTTGGAGTTTTTACGGTTGACTCACCCTAAATCAAATAGTAACTTTTTGTTATTTTAAATATTTCTTAGTAATTTTATCCCTAGAGTCGCTCTCGTTTTGATACATTGAAAGTTAGTTGAGAAATCCCTCGCGATTTGATGCGGGCGGCTAAAAACACTATTATTTTAGATAAAAATAATACATGTTAATAATATAATATAAATTATCACCAACTTTATAAAAGTAGATTAATTAATTTAACCTAAAATATGTTAAAAAAAGGGAAATATTAAAAGTTTTACTAACTGATAATTAAAATGGTAGGGGGGAGGGGGACCCACTACGTGCTTATTAGTGGGACTTTAATTATAAAAGGTAATTTTTTATATATATATAATTAGTTGGAAAATAAAATAATTGTTACGTATAATAATGAATATGGTAGGAGACAATGAGGTTAATAATTGAGATCAAACAAAAATAATAAAATAAAATAACAGGATCCATATTTTGTGTTGTTTTATTTTATAATCAATATGCCAATTATTGAACGGAATAATAATACTAATAATAATAATAATAATGCAAGACGGTGAGACCTTATTATAATGAATTATTATTATATCATTTTATTTTTTACATTATAGTTGGCCACAAATTCTTATTCCTAAATCACTTATTTTAAAAAAATATACCTTCTAAATATGTTTGACTTCAAAAAAAAAAAAAAAAAATGAATGTGAATGAAAGTGTGACACCATCACATCTCCTATCTTATTTTAATTACAATCGTTGTGAATTGTATTCGAGATGTTCAATTCGGCCCATCTATATACGCTGGGTGGAATTAAATAGGATTTTGGGTAGGTATGATTATCCTTAAAAAGTCTTAAAATTTGAAAAGAAAAATAAAAAAAAGAATGGATGAAAGGGAGAGACGTAATGAAATAAATTAAAGAGAATTAGTGGGTTTGTAATTGGTTTGATGCTACGTACCATTCTCCTTTGCCTGGAATCAGATTCATTGCCCACAAACCCCTAATTACACATTTTTATTCAATTTTTATTTTCATATTTTTGGCAATTCATTTGTTTTTATTTTATCTTAAAATAAATTAATTCAATCAAGTCACACGTGGAAATGAGTGAGATGATGACGTAACATGGTGGGTCCCACTTAGAAACAAAAAATAATAATTAAAAAAATAATAATAAAGTTGCTTGAGGGAAAGGGAGAGGCAACAAGTGAGTGCACGTAACACGAATGAGTCATCCATTTCAAACACTCATCTATGATTTTTTTTTTTTTTTTTTAATTTATAATAATAATTCTTTATTTATATTTCAAATTAAATCACCAACAAATTGATAAATTATAAATAAAATAAGTTTTTGTTGAATCGAGAGGTTGTGTTTATCTCGACCCAATAGTACACAAAGAATATAAGAAAAAGGGAATTAGAGCTAGAATAAAATTAGGTGGCACAAAGATGCTACACAACATTACTTTAACAAATATTTATTTATGTTATTATGAAGTTTATGAATCATTCAATTTGGATGAAGAATTACAATTACAATAATATATTTGTGTATTTAATATTATTTTATTTATTTAAAATATATTATAAAAAAAAGAGAGAGTGGATGGTAACCATGTTTTGTTCTTAATTCTGTGGTTAAGTTTGAAAGAAACCATATTTTGGTAACCATTCTTTATTTGATGCTGTTTCTTTCTTTTAAACAACCATCACAATTATTCTTTTCTTCCTTTTTTTTTTTTTTTTTAAATTAAAAATTAAAAATTAATTTTAATATAACTTACTCATTTTTTAAATAAGAAATTGAAAGGAGTGATATCATCTTCTCCAGATGTCATTTCACATGATTTCAACGGATCAAGACAAACCAGGAACATGATTTCACATGATTTATCAATTTAAACATCAAAGGTTATGTAAATATATTTTGATTTTACAAAAGAAAAAATTGTGGTTAAGGTTTGATATTAGTGCAATTTCTTTTCACCAAGTTGTTCTTACTTATTCTTATTCTTAAATTTTAATGGATTTTAAAATGCTTTTACTTCATGCAATTACTTTCTCATTCTGGAATTTTTTTTAAAAAAATACGTTCTTAATATAGTTGATTAAGAATAAATGACGTGCCACTTTTGTTATGCGACCGTCACATTCCTATACTTTCGCCGCGCAGGAGTAAGGATTGTGATGGCCACATTTTATGCATTGATTAACATTATAGAAGTAAGAATAATAATAATAATAATCAATAGGACATTAGAATCCTATGGCCACGAATGCAAAATCAGAATGAAACATTGAACACATTCATTCATTCATTTATTCTCAGCAGCAGCAGCAGCAGCATAAAGAGCTTTGATCTCTTCAACATCATCATAGCTACCAAGAAATATGGGAGATCTCTCATGTATCGTCTTTGGAACTAACTCAAGTGCCTGCAAAATCAAAATCAAAACTACATTATTTTTCTTCAAACAAGAATCCGCCTCAAGGTTTATGCCGGTACTGTACCCTTATTTTGCCAGTGAATGCTTGACCTCCTGCTTCCTCCATCAAGAACGCCATTGGAAAAACTTCATACAACACACTAATGCCAAAAAAACAATGATACCCCATCATACATAATGTCATCATACAGTAAGAAATAGTTCAAGTCGAATCGGAGAGCATATGTAGAATATCGCCACGTACCGCAGTTTTCCGTTAGGGCTCTTCTTGTCACCAGGGTACAAAAAGATACCACCATAAAGCAATGTACGATGCACATCAGCAACCATGCTGTTAATCAAACCATTTGACCATCAGAACTGAGTTCCAAATAAACAATTTGATGACCGGAAGAAATGATTCAAAACTTTTAACAAATGCTTAGCTACCTTCCAACGTATCTCAGAGACTTTGGGGGTGATCCATCTGTAGGAAACTTGCAATTCTCTACATACCTAAACAACAAAACGAGTTAGGAGTTCTCATACAACTTATATATACCATTTCCAAACACAATTCAAATCAACTCGATGTACTTTGCGGTCGGACCATCCCAGTTCTTAGCATTTCCTTCATTCACTGAATATATCTTTCCTTTCTTTGGAACCTGCAGATGGTTACAGAAGAAATGAATCAAATACAAGACGATCAAAAGAAGCAAAATATGATTTAGCCATCAAAGAACGCCAAACAAAGAGAGGAGAAGAAGAAACACAAAAACATAAGCAAGAATACTCCACCTTAAGGTCTGGGTGGGTTAAAATGAACTCCCCAAGAGAAGGGTCAAGAGTGAATCCATTAACACCAGTTCCAGTACTTAAAACGAGCTGGAAAACAGAAGGATTAAATGTTAATATTAGCATTCAATCAATTTAAGACTTGGGTTACCATAGTTTTAGAATGACCAGCTCCAAAATTTATTGATTATAATAATATGTACAAAAACTGATATAAACAAATGAATACAATAGAGTGAGATTGTACATACTGTGCAAGAGCTGCCATACAAGCAATAGCCTGCTGCAACCATATTCTTTCCTGGTTGAAGGACGTCTTCCAGGTTAGGTTCATGGCTATCGTTCAAGTGATAGATTCCGAAAATCTATACAAAACATAGTTATTCAAATGATCAAATACTCGACTAATGATAAAGAAATTAACACAATAATATCTGAAACATCAATCAGAACTGCACAAAATGTAGGAAGTTCATTTTACAGAGGGACGTTACCGTTCCAATCGAAACGCCACAGTCAATGTTGGAGGATCCATCAAGCGGATCAAACACAACAGAATACCTTTGCCATTGATAAGGAAGAAGCAATAACATCAAAATTAAATAAAATATAAAAAGGTCGATACTGACAAACATAGTAAGCAGTAGAAAGTATTCATCAAGAATGGAAAGAAAACCTTCCACGCCGAGATGGCTCGACATAAGTTGGCTCTTCATCTTCTTCAGAAACAAGGATACACTGCCACCAAATGTCAGCTGTTAGAGAAAATCACCAGAAACAAGTCCTACTATTTGTATAATTATAGATTGCAGCTTACAGTTCTGCCACTGCTGACCAAAGCCTTAATAAAAACTTCATTTGAGAGCACATCCAGTTTCTTTTGCTCTTCGCCCTGTTATCAAAGAAACAGAACAAATAATGCAAGGCAAAATTAAGAAAATGTGAACTAACACAGAGACAGAAGGAGTTCTAGTAATGTGATCTTACCTGAACATTGGTCTCACCAGCAAGTCCAATAAGTTTAGCTAAACCTGCCTGCAAAAGGAGAATTTCTGGGGTTAACGAACTGAATATTGCATTGTGTATGGCACATAAGCAAACACAGAAACGTTTGAAATTTCAGACAAAAGGGTCTTTTGGGAATTTTGATTATGAGCTGTAGGCATCATCCTAAAATCCCATGGCCACCTATTTGGAAGGATGACCTACCACGAAACCAATACATAATTGACTTTCAACTGGTCAAACATTAAATTTCAACGAAAAATGTCATATTGTAATAAAAATAATAGGAAACTTGGAACTTATCTTTTCTCCCTCTCTCTCTCTCTCCTCCTCAGCTCCAACCATCCCCAGCTTCTCCTCTTTCCTTCTTTCTTTGTTATTTTTTTCTTTTTCCACCTCAATATATGTAGATATATAGATAGATATATATATATATTAAACTACAGATTATGATAGTACTAGTTCATTTCCCAATGTGACACATATTTCAAGATATACAATTTTATTTTATAGGCCCCACAATATTCTTACATATTTTAGCCACTAAAAACAAGGGAAGGAGGTAAGAACAAATAAAAAAAACGAAAAAGAAGTCATCACAGCTTAGAGATTAACATGATAACAACAATCAAAATCAAAATCAAAATCAATTGTTCTATCGCTCAGTATAATATATATAGTGCTAGAAAAAGTGATCAGTGTCTCTTGAATAATGAGTTTGAATCAACCCAGCATTTGGAATATAATATTCTTTCAAAAAAGAAAAGATCATCAATGCAAGACTATTAATCTGATAAGACTTGTATTATTTCGGGCCACAAATTCTGCAGATCCTCCCTTAAAATACTCACGTTTTCTGCTTTGATTCATTTGGAATCAAACTCCAGCAACCCCCAAACAGGAAATGATCATCGATATAATTCATGAATATCGAACAGTTTGTAAGGTCTCTAAACTGACAGAATTGAGTTCTTCCAATATTACACAAGAACGAATACGCAATCGCGAAAGAGAAAACAATTGAAACCAATGAATCACAGAAAACCTAAAATAAAACCTAAAACAGAACAAAAGAGGAGAAGAACCTTGTTAACAGCAGAGCAGACGAATTTGCAGCCAAGAACGATATGACTAAGCAAAATGGTGAAATCCCCTCGCGATTCCGGGTACTTGGATTGCTCATTCAACACAAATCGAGTGATGGTCATCAAGTCCGTTCTCTGAGCATCCGCCGCGTGATCCATGGCGCTGAAAACCCCTCTTCTCTTGAAGAATCAGAAGAAAAAGAAGAAGATGATGATGAAATAAGGATGAGATTTTTGAAAAAGGGGTGCTGATTTCGAGGGTTGCGATAAAGCTATATCTATATATATATATATATATATATATGTATGTATGTATATGTACACAGAAACGGAAACGGAGATGGGGGAAAATGAAGAATATGAGTTGGGGACACGTGGGGGAGGAAGAAAAAGGGTAGAAATGGAGTGGTGGGCGATTGGTTTAGAATTTAGAGACAGAGAAAAGGAATAGAAATGGAGAAATTTGCAGATAATGGAGTTCGTCGTCTTCTTCAATCCTCCCCTGTTTATTCCATCTTTCTCCTCCTCTTTTTTTTCATATAAATCTCGAATGCGTCGTATGTGACTGATCATTTTTATTATTATCTCTTTTCATTTTTATTACTATACTTCAAATTTTATTTAATTTTTTTTTTTAGCAAAATTGAAAAATTAACTCGAAACATTATATTTAGAGATGTTTATTTAATCCATAAATATACCCATCTAAACTAATTTATTATATTATTTATATTAGATAATATTATTGAATTTATAAATAAATAAAAAGTTATCTATTAAAAAGTTTTTTTTGGGATCACATTCTCTAATTTGAATGCTACATTAATAAAGGGTAATTTAGTCATTTAAATTTGAAGGTTTCAATCTCTCTAATTTGAATGCCACGTTATTAAATGGAACTTTTTATTTTTATTTTTATTTTTTAAAATTTAATATCATTACTTGGCGTTGGATTTTTTTATTTTATTTTGAAATTAGTGTCGTAAATTTGAAACATAGAAAAAATGAATATATATTTAGACATGTATATATTTAAATCAAAGTTGAGTATGAATGAAGCAGATTAATATATGATGAAATATAAAAAAAGTCAATATTTTATAAAAATTATATTGTTAACTTATTTTAGGTATAAAAAAATAATTATTTTCCTAATAATAATGACAAAGCTCACATGGCAAATTAAGAAACAAGGATAAATTGAAAATAATATTAGATTAAAATTACTCTAAATGGACTTTCTTTTAATAAATATCATGATATTAATGATGACTGTCCCATTTTTCTAAAACTTAGATCAACATAATTTTGCTATCTTTCACATTACTAAATAATAATAATAATAATAAAAAAAGTGATTTAGTTGGGGTAATTGCCACCAAACTATCTAAATTTCTAAATATTCAGAATCGCTACTAATATCTCATGTTCGTCTATAATGCAAAAATATAACTCTAAATAGAAAAATCATTTATAGTATAAATGTTGACAACATTTAAAACATCTTCTATCCCTGAAAACTAAAGTCTTGCGTGTTTAAATAAGAAATACTAAAATTTAGAGAAAATAAAAACAAATACAAAATAATTTAAAATGATGAAATGAAAAACCACCTATTCTAACCTACCTATTATAACCTAAGACTAGGAATTTAAATATGAGTCTATCATATGTACGTACCAGTCTCTGCTCGCGATGCCGCCGTCCTCCGTATAAGTGCGTCTTGCCTTTACCTAAAAAATGATGTGGCACACGGCCTGAGTATTTTAAAAAATACTCAATAAGTGGTCCCACTGTAGGGGTCATGCAATCATGATTTAGGGACCTATCTCTAGCTCATCTACGGGTGGCATATAGTTTCGGACAAATTGGATGTATAGTACTTCCCTACACACAACCTACACGTGCAAGTGTGAATCTCCATGGCGCTCGCACACCCCCTAGACTCTCTGGTCAAGCTAATCTATAGCGACTTCTGGAGGTTAGTGGAACCCCATAGTGTCATGCACCTCATGAACACCCTGCTCGTCATACTGTGCACATTCGCACCCATCATCATACTGTGCGCGTTCGCAATCCTCATCTCTAAGGGAAGTAGTCTTATGCTTATGAATATACAATATGCATATGAGGTCCCTCTAACGCCCATCTTATCATCTGTAACGACCCGGGAAAAAAAAAAGAAAAAAAAAAAGAAACTCAGTCGCCGAGTTTCGCAGACCCCACGCGAAATGACAGCCACACCTCACTCAGCCTTCAGCCCACGACTCTCAGAACCGCAGAATACCTACAAACAGAGAAAAGAAAGAAAATACAGGAGAGAGAGAGAGAGATTTCAGATAACATCGGCGAGTTTCCAATTTCTCCGACGAGTCCCAAACCACCCGAAAACCGACTCCAAACGCTCAGTTACCACCACGAGAAAGATCCCTAACGAAAGCACAATAATTCAAGGTACGTTTTGTGCCTTTTCGTAAGCGTCGTCGTCAGTAACCGAGGTTGAAAAAAGGTTTTCCTAAACGTTCTTAGATATGTGGTTTTAGGAACTTTTAGGCCACTAAACTTCGAAAAAGGAAAGAAGGACGACAAACAGAGAGGAAAAGGAAGAAAGAGGACCGAAATCGGCAACGGAAACGCCGCGGGAAGGAGAGAGAAAATGCAACAGAAAATCGGTCGAAGTCAGGTAAGGAAGACGAGATTCACGGATCCGGATCCGAATCAACCTGAACCCAAAACCTGAGAGAGCCAGCCCGACTTCTTTCCCCTCGGCCTCTACCTTCGGCCCAACCCAACTACAGCCGCCTAAACCTCAATCTAGCCCAAAACCACGGTTCAGTTGAATCGACCTGAGACTAGACCCACAGTCCAATCGAATCAGCTTGCAACCCAAACACTTGCGGCCCAATCCAGTAAATTGAGGCCCAACAACCAGCCTGGCCTAGTAGCCTTCTGCAGCAGTCGACCCGAACTGGAGTGCGACCCACACCTCGACCCGACGCTCACTACACGATGTGGCACACTCTACTTCTGCCACATGGCACACAACGATGCAGGGGCCTCGGCTCGGCAGCTCCCAGCGGCTGTTTGGCTCAGCTCCCCTATTTTCGACTCGGTTTCCACTGTTTCGACCCTCCCATACCTATTTTCGGCCTCGATTATGGTATCCGAGACCGTTTTAGAGTCGTATTTCACATTTATTGAATTATTGGTAAATTAATTGTAAAATACTAACGGAAGGTGGCGAACGGTGTGATAGGAAACAAACCCTGACAACGTAGGAAGCCGCTCTCACGGAACAGGAGCTTACGTTTAGCTAAATAGGGAATACTTCGGCCAAGGCCAACCAAGTAAGTGACCTTACTATAGGGTAGGCTAAAGATTGTTTAATTTATGATGATGTAATAGTACGACATTGTGTTGTGATGTATGTTAAATGTACGTTATTTATGTTTCGATGCATGACGTACATGTTATATTTGATGCAAGTGATGGCTTCTATGATGAGTATGATGTATGCATGACGATGTTATTAACATGATGATGTTTTCCATGTTGAACATGCCTTATGATGTTGTTTGCCATATTGCATCATGTCATTAAATCAACATAGGACACAACCCTAATGCGCACAGGTGCGAATGCACACAAATGAGGGTGTTCATGAGGTGCATGACACTATGGGGTTCCGTTGACCTCCGGACGTCGCTACAGATTAACTTAACCAGAGGGTCCAGGGGGTGTGCGAGCACCCTGGGGATTCACACTCGCACGTGTGAGTCGTGTGTAGGGAAGTACTACACATCCAATTTGTCCGAGACTGGAGGCTACCCTTAAGATGATTAGAGATACGTCCCTAATTCATGATTGCATGTGTTTGCATTAGCATGGCCCCTATAGTGGGGTCACTTACTGAGTACTCAGGCTGTGTGCCATATTGTTTTTCAGGTAAAGGCAAGACACCCATGTACGGTTGACGACGGCATCGTAATCAGAGACTGTGGCGCGTGCATAGGGTAGTTACATATTTAAAATTCCTAGTTTTGGTTAGGATAGGGCGTTTGCATTTCATTTATTTAAATTATTTAATTTGTAATTGTTTTTATTTTATTTTGAACTCTAGCATGATGTTTGAAACATAAGTCCGGCAGTGTTTTAATGTATTCTAAAGTTTTTAAATTTTTCGCTAATAAAGATGAACATTTTTAGAGTTATATTCTGCATTAGAGATGAGCATGAGACGTTAGTAGCGACTCCGAATATGTGAAAATTTAGAGTCGTTACAGCATCGCTTCTAACACAACCCTCAAGTCTCATTTCTTTGTTACATTAAGTAACACATACTCATGGATATTTATATTAATATCGTTTTCATGCTCTTAGGGTTGTGTCTTATGTCTATCTAACGACATGATACAATATGACATTCGTCATCATATAGTATGCTCAATATGAAAAACATCATCATATTAAGGTAAACGTTACGCAATCATCATACTCATCATATTGTCATAAAATGCATCAAGCATATCAAGTACGACATTTATCGAAATATATATACTACGCACGTCATCAAACATCATAACTCATATATCATCATAACTCATACATCATCATATACTAGTATACGGCATCATACGATACAGCTCATATATCATCATAACTCATACAATTTTAGTCTATCTTATAGTAAGGTCACTTACTTGGTTGTCTTAGCCGAATACTCCCTAATTTAATTAATATAAGCTCCCGTTCCTCGAGAGTTGCTCCAAAGGTTAACTGGGGTTCGCTTCCTATCGCATTGTTTGTCACATTTTGTTAGTATTTCACATTTTAATTAATAATCTAACTAATAATGTAAAATACGACTCTAAAACGGCCTCAGTAAAAATCGAATTCTATGTTTTCATTGTTTCTAAATTATGTTGGATAGTAAAACTTAAATTAAAAAGATGTCAATATTATTTCATGTTGGTTTATGGTTCGATCTTCAATCCAAATATTGTTAGTTAAAATATTATATTCATTAGGTACAAATAATAATTTCTCATCTCTTTCATTTTCCTCCTCTTTATTATATCACTACGCTCTCCTCTGTTTTTTTAATTCTGTTTACAGTAATTTTAGTAATTTTAGCTATTTTCAATTGATTTCGATTTTTTTTTCTTTCTCATATATATCATTTTTCTTTTCTTTCCCCTATATATATATATATATATATATAATTAATGAATCATTTTTTTAAAAAGGTTGTTTACCGTAGTTTTTTTTTGCCATTTTCAACCTATTTTTGTTCTTTCCTAAAAATGATTTTGCAATTAACTAAGCTAATTTTCTTTTCAATGAGCAGAAATCGTTTTCAATCTACTCTAATTTTCTTTTCTTGTTTTTTTTACTAAAAATAGTTATACAATTTACAGAGTTATTGTTATTTGATTTTTAACTAACTATTTACAACAAATTAATATCATAGGATAAAATGTGACCACTCAACTTTTCAAGTGATATCTTTCTTCCAATCATCATCGTAACCATATCTCTTTCCATTATTTGCTTAACCTTTTTCTTACCGGATATCTTTTCTTTATGTTTTGTTTTTATAGGAAATTATTGATATAGGAGATAGGTATTTTAGGAAAGGAGCGAAGAGAAGAAATGACGCTTTCTTTTCTTTTCTTTCTAAAATAATTAGTTACAATATGGTTACGAGACAACTCACGCGTAAACTCATAATATTTCATTACCATAAAATGATTTCATTTCATTGTATTCACTCGTTCCTCAACCTCCTTACCTCTAAACTATCTAACCTATACATTTAGTATGATTTAGGATGTACAGTGTTGTAAACTTTTGTTCAAAGAGAAATCTCGGGTTATGAAGTTGTTATTGTGAGTTAGTATGTTCTACTTGTCCAAAAATCAAACATTAAACACCCGCTTAGAATTATAGGATGTGATAGTCATGCTTTGATCCGTTAGTAATCTTGGAGCGCAAAAAGAATTATGAGCGCTTTTGTTGACTCGGGATTTATTCAATTTAGAGCGTGAGAGAGGAAAGAGGAGATTGTGGTGTGAAATATGAGAAGAAGTTTAGAACTCATGTCGTAACCTTCTTGAAATGCAGAGGAATTGACGACATGTCGTTTACATTTTTTTTCTTTTTTTTTTTAATTAAATTTCAAATAAGTAGAGGGCCACGCGCGTAGAACCTCAAAAAGAGGGTTGTAGGACAAAGGAAAGAACGATGCCTACATTAAATCAATTGATTCGTCATGGTAGAGAAGAAAAACGGCGCACGGACCGTACTCGAGCTTCGGATCAATGTCCCCAGAAGCAAGGAGTACGCCCGCGTCTTTCAACGAGAATATTGAAAAAAGCCTAATTCAGCTCCATGTAAGATGGCCAAAGTACGGTTGAGCAATCGACATGATAATTTACTCACATTTCGGACGAAGGTCATAATTTTAACTCATTTGTTGCATTTGATAGATAACAATTTAGTCGACTTGCTCAATGTTCTCCGAAGCACTATTAACTATTAAACTCTTTGTATATAAGAATCAACTTCAAAATTACATTGTCGATGTGAGCTCAAATCTTGGGTTTGTTGAAAAAAAAAGTGCAAGCGTTATTGCACTAAAAATGGTTGTAATAAATAGAGATTAAGTCTACCTAATGGTTTATCAAATGTTCGATCACATGATCGAATGAAAGATCAATTGATAAATGGTTGTCTCATACCATATATTAACAAAGATTTCCGTGACAAGTTAGACAATAAAATCTAAAAAACATATTAATAATGTTGTCATGTGAACCTTTGAACCAACCAAATGTTATTTGTTTACAATAACATAGAACCCAGAAATTGAGAGAGAGCATCAGTGCCAGAGCAGTTTTAGTGCCATTGCAGTTTTAGTGCAGAACTGATGAGCAGTGTGTCACGGTCATGCTCGTCCAAGGCGTGTTGCCCATGACAAGTCAAACCCTTGTCATGTCTTTTCATTCTAGTGTTTTTCCTTTTGTAGTTTTAGGGCGTATGACGCCTCAAAAATATCATGTCTAGGCCTGCCAGACATGAAATGCCTCAAAATGTACTATAGGGGAATATGACTAGTTGTCAACTTCTCCCTACCTAAGGTTATATATGCTAAGCCGTTGTTATCTCTCTCTTACTTGCTTATATAACGTCTCTTTCAAAAATCTCTCTCTCTCCTCGTTTTCTAAACTCTTCTTTTAAAACCGAGGCTAGAGGCTCGATCATACGTCGCTTGGCCGTAGGCGACGCAAGAACAAATTGGCTTAGCTCACTTGTCGCTGGAAAGTGAGTGTCGCACAATCGCTAGTCTGCTGCCTTCAAAAGTGCGATTGTGTCAAGTGGTATCAAAGCTTTGTTAGCTCCGTAACATAGAAAAGACCGAAACCATGTCGGCGACAAAGTCGACACCCAAAGCACAAGCCGACCGGCTTACGCTAATAGAGGAGGAAATGTTGTTCCTCAAGGAAGTTCCTGACACCATTCGCTTCCTGGAAGCACGGGTGACCGAATTGAGTGGGAAAGTAGTAAAAATCGACGCAATGGGCAACCGCCTGGATGGGTTGCCAATCGCAGAACTGATGTTTCGAGTGACCTCGCTCGAAGAAAGAGTAGCTCCTACGAGCAGCCCAAAACCGTCTGGTAGTCCGGATAGCTTTGTCGCGCATAAAGAGGGACGTGGCGAATAGTTCGACGTGCTACAAAATACAATGATGAGCTTGTTCAATGGATTAGCTAATGAATTCAGAACAACAATCGACGACATCCAAGAAAGGATGGCCTCCATGAGCACTCGAATTGAAGTGACCATGAAAGCCGTGGAGAACGTCACGGCTGGGCAAACTAATGCAGGATCCAACAAACTAAGATTCCCAGACCCTAGAGCCTTCAAAGGGAATCGGGACGCCAAGGAGTTGGAAAACTTCATCTTTGATGTCGAACAATACTTCAAAACCACAACGGCTTGTACCTACGACAAGAAGGTGACCGTAGCCTCGATGTATCTTATAGACGACGCCAAACTGTGGTGGCGTACGAAGGTACAAGACATCGAGGATGATTGTGCACCATCGAATCGTGGGAGGACCTCAAGAAAGAGTTGAGGGAACAATTCCTCCTCGAAAACGCAGGACATATAGCAATGAAGAAAATAGTAGCCCTGAAACATACTGGAGGCATATGAAACTATGTCAGACAGTTCTCAACCCTGATGCTGGATATCAGGGGCACATCAGAGAAGGACAAGGTGTTCTTCTTTATAAATGGGTTACAGCCGTGGACCAAGACAAAGCTACATGAGAACAAGGTCCAAACCCTAGCTGCCGCAATGGCCTGCGCCGAGAGACTCCTAGACTATGGGAACGAAGCGGGATCCCAAAGAAGAACGACACCGGCCCCAAACACTGGGGGCAAAACATACAAGCCACCAGGTCATCGAAATGGAAGCCCCAACAGACCGAACAGAGGTAACGACAGACTAAGCGGATGGACGGATAGACCTCCTCAGAACAACCAAGCGGGGACATCTCGAGGACCTTACCATCATAGGAACCACCCGACGACGCCTTTACAATGCATGCTGTGTAAAGGTCCCCACAAAGTATCCTACTGTCCTCATCGGGCCTCTCTCACTGCGCTCCAAGTGTCCATTCAAGAGAGCAATGACGCAAGGGTCGAGACTATGTTAGACAAGAAGGAAGATCAAGACAATCCCCGAATGGGCGCGCTTAATTTCTTGTTAGCCCTCCAACAGAAGGTCGAATCGAAGGAGATAATAGAGAAAGGGCTCATGTTCGTAGATGCGACAATAAATTCTCGACCGAGCAAGAGCACTCTGATAGACTCAGGAGCGACCCACAACTTCATCGCCAATCAAGAAGCCCGAAGATTGGGACTCACCATAGGGAAGGACCCGGGAAAAATGAAAGCTGTCAACTCTGAGGCCTTGCCTATTGTGGGAGTTTCCAAAAGAGTCTCCTTCAAAATAGGGGATTGGACAGGAGAGCTAGACCTTGTCGTTGTTCGCATGGACGACTTTGACGTGATACTTGGGATGGAGTTCCTCCTAAAACACAAAGTTATCCCAATGCCACTGGCAAAATGCTTGGTGATCACCGATCGCAACCCCACAGTAATACCTGCAAGCATCAAGCAACCAGGTAATCTTCGAATGATTTCAGCCATACAATTGAAAAGGGGACTCGCACGAGAAGAACCTACATTTATGGCCATACCACTGATGGAAGAAACGACCACCGAAGAAACTGTCCTAAATGAAATCAAGGAGATACTAAACAGTTATGCTGACATAATGCCAAAGAGCCAACCTCAAACATTACCACCTCGTCGAGGCATTGATCACTGATCGCAACCCCATAGTAATACCTGCAAGCATCAAGCAACCAGGTAATCTTCGAATGATTTCAGCCATACAATTGAAAAGGGGACTCGCACGAGAGGAACCTACATTTATGGCCATACCACTGATGGAAGAAACGACCACCGAAGAAACTGTCCCAAATGAAATCAAGGAGGTACTAAACAGTTATGCTGACATAATGCCAGAGAGCCAACCTCAAACATTACCACCTCGTCGAGGCATTGATCACAAAATCGAACTTCTCCCCGGGGTTAAACCGCCAGCAAAGAACGCATACAGGATGGCTCCGCCCGAGCTAGCCGAATTGAGGAAACAACTGGTGAGTTATTGACGGCGGGATTCATCCGCCCGGCAAAGGCACCTTACGGGGCCCCCATACTGTTCCAGAAGAAGAAGGATGGGACGTTGCGTCTGTGCATAGACTATAGAGCCTTAAACAAGGTGACGGTATGCAACAAATATCCACTGCCGATAATATCCGACTTGTTTGACCAACTTCACGGGGCCAAATACTTCACGAAGTTGGACTTGCGATCAGGGTATTACCAAGTACGTATTGCCGAGGGGGACGAGCCCAAGACGACGTGTGTAACAAGATATGGGGCCTTCGAATTCCTAGTAATGCCCTTTGGCTTGACAAACGCCCCAGCTACTTTCTGCACGTTGATGAACCAAGTTTTCTACGAATACTTGGATCAGTTCGTCATAGTATACCTCGACGACATAGTTGTCTACCGCACAACCTGGAGAAACACAAAGTGCACTTGAAGCTGGTGTTTGACAAGCTGCGGCAGAACCAACTGTATGTCAAGAAAGAAAAATGTGCCATCGCACAAACATGCATTAACTTCCTTGGACATGTCGTCAAATGTGGACAGATTAGCATGGATAGCGATAAGATAAAAGCTATCCAGGAATGGAAAGTTCCTACTTTCGTATTCGAGGTGCAGTCCTTCTTAGGATTAGCCAACTACTATAGGCGGTTCGTCAAAGGGTTTTCACGACGAGCCGCCCCATTGACAGAGCTGTTGAAGAAAGACCACCCTTGGTCGTGGTCAAATAATTGTCAAATGGCTTTTGAGGATCTGAAAACAACCATGACGAGGGGTCCTGTCCTCGGGTTGGTAGATGTTACAAAGCCATTTGAAATAGAAACAGATGCTTCCGACTTTGTCCTAGGTGGGGTCCTTATTCAGGAAGGCCACCCCATCGCTTACGAAAGTCGAAAGCTCAACGATGCCAAACAGATATACACCGTCTCCGAGAAAGAAATGCTGGCTATAGTCCATTGCCTACGAGTCTAGAGACAGTATCTCTTGGTATCACAGTTCGTGGTGAAGACGGATAATAGCGTCATTTGCCACTTCTTCGATCAACCAAAATTGACGGCAAAATAGGGCCGGTGGCAGGAGGCATTGGCCGAATTCGACTTCAAGTTCGAACATAAAACAGGAAAAAGTAATCAAGCAGCCGACGCACTGAGTCGGAAGGGCGAACATGCAGCCCTGTGCATGTTAGCCCATATTCACTCAAGTAAGATCGATGGATCGATGTGCGACATCATCAAAGAACATCTGCATAAAGACCCATCGGCCAAAGCCGTCGTCGAATTAGCTAAAGCTGGGAAAACACGACAGTTTTGGGTTGAGGGAGACCTTCTGATGACAAAAGGAAGTAGATTGTACGTCCCAAGAACGGGAGAACTGAGGAAGAAGCTCATTCAAGAATGTCATGATACCTTATGGGCCAGCCACCCTAGAAGGCAAAGAACATACGCCCTAATAAAAAAGGGGTACTTCTGGCCAAAAATGCGAGATGACATCATGCAATACACCAAGACGTGCCTCATCTATCAACAGGACAAAGTCGAGAAAGCCAAAGTCTCAGGACTCTTGGAACCTCTGCCTGTGCCAACAACTGGGAAAGTGTGTCTCTGGACTTCATAACACACCTCCCAAAAGTTGGGGAATATGACGCCATCTTGGTTATCGTAGACCGATTCTCAAAATATGCGACGTTCGTCCCCACTCCCAAATTATGCTCGACGGAACTCACAGCCCAACTATTTTTCAAAAACGTCGTAAAGTTATAGGGCATTCCGTCGAGCATCATCAGCGATAGGGATGGAAGATTCATTGGGACATTCTGGACTGAGTTATTCGTCTTCTTGGGAACAACCTTAAACATCTCCTCGAGTTATCACCCTCAAATCGATGGACAGACAGAACGGTTCAATTGCTTGTTCGAAGAATACTTACGTCACTTCGTCGACGCTTGCCATCAGAACTGGATACAACTATTAGATGTCGCCCAATTTTGCTTCAATTGTCAGACAAGCTCGTCTACGGGAAAGAGTCCCTTCGAAATTGTAAGTGGACGACAACCGGCCTTACCCCATATTATTGATCATCCTTATGCAGGAAAAAACCCTCAGGCTCAAAACTTCACAAGAGAATGGAAGTAGACAACAGATATAGCCCGGGCATATTTAGAGAAGGCTTCCAAGCATATGAAAAAGTGGGCGGACAAGAAGCGTCGCCCCCTTCAATTCCGAGCAGGAGATCAAGTTCTCATCAAGCTGAAACCCAAGCAGATTAGATTTCGCAGCCGAAAGGACCAGAGACTAGTTCGAAAATATGAAGAACCGGTTGAAGTCCTTAACAAGATTGGGGCTACCTCCTACCGAGTTGCACTACCCGCATGGATAAAAATCCACCCAGTAATTCATGTGAGCAACTTGAAGCCCTACCACCCCGACCCAGATGACGACCAACGAAATGCAATCACGAGACCGAGCATCGATCTGAAACAAAGAGAAACCAAAGAAGTAGAGAAGATCCTAGCCGACAGGGTTAGGAAGATAGGAAGACCTGTACGGACGATTCGTGAATTCCTTGTCAAATGGAAGAATCTCCCTACAGAGGAAACTAGATGGGAACGCGCCGAAGATCTGAACTTCGCCGCCACGCACATCACAAGGTTTGAAAGTAGTCGATTGACAGGGACGTCAATCAATTAGGTGGGGGAGGATGTCACAGTCATGCTCGTCCAAGGCGTGTTACCCATGGCCGCATGCCTATGACAAGCCAAACCCTTGTCATGTCTTTTCATTCTAGTGTTTTTTCTTTTGTAGTTCTAGGGCGTATGACGCCTCAAAAATATTATGTCTAGGCCTGCCAGACATGAAATGCCTCAAAATGTACTATAGGGAGATATGACTAGTTGTCAACTTCTCCTTACCCAAGGTTATATATGCTTCTCCTTACCATAGTTGTTAGTTGTCAACTTCTCCTTCCCCAAGGTTATATATGCTTCTCCTTACCCAAGGTTATATATGCTAAAAGATAGTTGTCAACTTCTCCTTACCCAAGGTTATATATGTTAAGCCGTTGTTATCTCTCTCTTGCCAAGCTTATATATGTTAAGCCGTTGTTATCTCTCTCTTGCTTGCTTATATAACGCCTCTTTCTAAAATCTCTCTCTCCTCGTTTTCTAAAACCTTCTTTTAAAATCGAGACTAGAGGCTCGATCATACGTCGCTTCGCTTGGCCGTAGACGACGCAAGAACAAATTGGCTTAACTCACTTGTCGTTGGAAAGTGAGTGCCGCACAATCGTTAATCCACTGCCTTCAGAAGTGCGATTGTGTCACGGTGCACTCATAGTTCATCACCTAATCCACCTCTCCAGGCATGAGAACTTGCTGCTACTACTGATGTTCCAATGTAGCCAAAGCACTAAGGAAGAAATTTTTTATCATACCAGAAACAATTCCAGATAAGCCTGTGTTCAAATAATACAATCCAACACCTCAAAAATTCGAATTTAATGTTAAAGCTACAACATTACACAGAAACTCGTGCACATACACCCTGAAAGTACAATTAATACATTTTATGCCCCTATCTGTGTGCCTTTCAAATCACAACCTCCGTCTTTTTTCGGTATCATTCATGCATTGTGCACAAAGGAAAGCAAAGAAAACAAATCGTACTATACTATACTAGGGGGATCACCAGCCCACCTACAAATGGCTCGAGCCCAGCGTGTTCGGATGCAATCAACCAGCGGGGCATGTTGAGACGGTTCTGGTTTAGAAACCTCGACATCTTTACCAGAAGATTCGTTTCCTCCTGAGGCAGATGAAACAGCTACATCTGCCATGAATTCCTCTGGAGTCCACCTTGGTGGAACCGAAACCCTCAATTTGGTGAGCCGAGGTCTTTGTATTGCAGTCTCACCTCCACATCCAAATTGGTTTCCGTTCAAATCGGACTTGGCAATCCCATTAAAATGGTAAAGATCAAACACTTTTTTACCCATCAATCCTGTCGAATCCTTCAGGCCTCCGAAGTTTTTGTCCAAGTCCAGAATTACCTGCCAGAATTCACTCCACACTATAAATCCTGTACTGCAAAGATGATCAACTTTCTCAGGTTGAAGTTTGATATTGGTTTCCCTGAGAACTAGATGAAAGCCTTCTACACTGATGAAACCACCACCTCCACTCTGGTCTTGGGCGTCGAATGCTTTTCGTATTTGTGACTCCCTTTCCTCCAGTTCATTCTCATCCTGTACCGAGGTGTCGAGGGCAAAAAGAACCGTGTAGTGTGATTCACTCCCAACCACCCATATGGGCCATTTTGGGCATTTAAGAAATTGGCCAACTTTACAGAAATTGAGAGATTCCAAAAGTGTGAGGAACCCAACTTCCACGCTTTTAGATATACCTTTTAGGAACATCCCACCACCTAAGTCCATCCTTCCATCAAACACATTAGGGACGGCTTGTCCACAGAGCAGTAGGTTCACAATCTCCTGTTTCATGATAATATAAATTGCATAAATATCGTACAGAAACCAAAGGAATTACATAATTCAATAATAATAATAAAAAAATGCATATCAAAGAACCTGTGAGGCATGCCCAAATGGAGCAGTGACAAGAGGGAGGCTTGGATCATCCCTGTCTGCTTGTACCATATCCTACAGAAGTAAAATTAAACTGGCATTCACAACATAAAGATCCTAAAGAAAATCATCAGAAACTATCATCCATAATGCAAAGTTCAATTCACATATCAATATTTTCCCTCCACAGAA